GATACTTTCAACAAAAGGTTTTCCAGGCCAATCCTTATTTAAGTTCAGGCTGAAATTCATACGAGGTACCCCATTAATTTTTTTTAAATTCACTGCAAGGCTTCCATACTTGGGGTCACACCAATAAAATATTGAGTTTTCAGACTCAATGATTGCAACTTTTTTAATCTAAAATATATTTTTCATAAATTAATTAATAATAAAAATCGTAAAAATAAAAGTAAAATTACCTTTGCATCACAAGTTATTGTGATAATCAAAAGACAAAATATATGCTTTAAGAACATGTTCATAGCAATATTAACTTAATACTCTGTTCAAACATTTAGTTTTTTTGTAATTTTTTATTGTAAAAAATAAAATCATTTAAATGTCATTATTATACAGTAATGAAGCATATCTTATGGAAAACGGATATTATCTGATTTTTCTGTTCACATTTACAATATGTTTAATATCCTATGGGTATCAAGGTTAATGATGTTTGTGTTCGTCGTAGATAAAGTGAAGTATGCAACTCGTTTTATAAACTTCTCTAGAGGCTCGTTTTCATTTAACACTCGCTCGCAAGCTTCGCTCGTGCCTAATAAAACTCGTAACCAAAATGGCGTTTACAAAACTTGATACGTAATATAGGTACTATTTTCTACTCCCACCTTTAAAACGCCCATTATCGTACATGTTTCCATGATATTAAGTGACCTTTTAAATACAAATTGGCAAGTTTTGGCTTTATGGCGTTTTAGTCACGGGCTGAAGTTAGCAACAGGTTTTTAGTTATTAATAAAATAATAAAAGTGATTATTTTCTCATTATAATATGAACCAATCAAAAGCCTTGAATTTTCGAATAAATTTCGTTTAAATAAGCGATTAAATCACTAGAACTATTTAACAGCGATTAAATTTTAGCCTCCATATTGGATTTTTGTTTACGATTTTATGGTGTTATTTACAAGTTTTAACAAACATTTTTTTAAAAATAATAAAAAATAAGTTATCTAGTTTACGAAATATCAATTATTACTTATTACATACCTTAAATTAATGGAATTTTCTTTAAAAAAATATTTATAAATTTTGACACATACGTCAGATTTTATGAATTGTCAAATAGTTTCCTTTAATTCGAGAAATAATCTAGACGTATATCACTCAACCTATAAATTTAATCTGTCAAACTATGCTCAGTAAGTTTTTTATTTGATTTTTCTTTTTGGAAAATAGTTTCATGCAAAATAATTAAAAATAAAACCCCTCGACCGCTACGCGGTCTCGTGATTTTATTAAATTATTTTGCATTCAACATTTTCCAACAAAAACCAAACAAAAAACTACTGAGCCTAGTTTAACCGATTAAATTCATAGTTCTCGTGATATAATATATGAATATTATTATTGTGTATTATTTCAATACAAAAATGCAAAAGTAAGTAGTTTCTCAACGCCAATATTTAAAAAGTTTAAATGCACGTTGCACTGACCTTTTCTAGACACTTATATAATTAAACACTCGCTCGCAAGCTAGCTCGTGCCTAATTAAATTTCCTGACTAAAATGGCGTTTATCAAACCTGATACATAATATAGTATTATTTTTTAAACCAAATCACTGTAGGTCCAGTAAAAAAAATTATTCTGATTTTTGAGTTTAGATACTATTATTATTATTATTATTATATAAATATTATTAATATGCCAATTTTTTTTAGATACCTATTAGCAGATGAATAAATTTCTTTTATAAATGGTAATATGTATACATTATAATGCTATTATTATATTTTAGTTACTTTCAAAAAATAAAACAATATATTTTAAAAATAAACAAAATCCTATTAAACCGCATACCAATCTATGGATTTTACTGTATTTATGAATCATAAATAGATACTCCCACTGAAAAATATTTTTATTTCTTTGGGTCGATCTTAATCCTAAATTTAATTTTATTTATTGCATAGGTATAATTTATAATTTTAATAGGTTCGCAAGGTACCTAAGTAGGTTTAATTGGTTATAGGCATTTGACCCGCTGAGGTTAATGGATTCATTGATTTTTAAAGGAAATAAGTTTATAAATGTGTAAAATTTTTTTATAAGTTAAATAACACAGTGCAACAGCAAAAAAAATTAAGTGGTTTTCGTTTCTCCTATACAAAGAATGCCTTTTTGCATTTACAGAATGTTTAGATTGATTCAGGTTTTTTTTAATATCGATTTTAAGTTTTATTAATTTTGAAACCCGAAAAACCGTTTATTAATTTAAACCAATTAACTGTTAGGAAATTGTTGTCATAACAATAAATTAAAAAGAAATAATAAAAAATAAAACAAAAATTAAAAATGGCTGTAAACATGTCACTAAAAGTGCATTTGCTCGTTACAGATTCGATGTTGGCAGATTTTTGTTGGTCTATGGCAATGGAAATTTTGGCATAAAATTATAAATAACATTTGTTATATCTTTTATGTTGATTCATTCTATTTGTTAAAAAGAATATGTTTTTAATAATTAATATATTAATAATTATTATAATTAGCATAATAATAATTATAATTAGCATAATTATTATTATGGTAGAAGCAAAAGAACTAAGAAATTGCACAAAAACATATTAAATCCAGAAAAAGGTTCATTTTAAAAATTGCATTTTATTGTTCTCATTATTTTTTTATTTAGGTAATTATTTTTTTCTTTATTTGATTGTTATTACTTTCTAAAACAATAAACAAAACCAATAATTATCTTTTATGTACTAAATATCATCTTAATTTTTTTCCGAAAATGTTGCACAATGTAATTACCATTTCATTTGATTTCAACATTTATACGAATTTGCTTATTGAAAAAAACGTTTTTTTACAATATCGCGAAAACAAGAGCTGATTGAGCAAAATCCTCAAATTACTCTAAAATGTTAATTGCAGTGTATAAACAAATCTGTTAAAGCCATTTAATTTAAAAAGCTAAAAATTAACCCTGATAGCAACATTTGATTTTAAGAATCTTCTAAGAAGATATGACCCGGAATAATAGAATATTCTTAAAACCTTCCCTTAGGGGCCGTTCATTAATTACGTGAGACAATTTTGGCGATTTTTCGACCCCCCCCCTCCCCTTGGTGAGATGTCGTGAGATTTTGCTCGACCCCCTCTCCCCCCCTTAATCTCACGTGAGATTTTTTAAAATGCATGGTTTTAATGTAAATAAGTTAATCTGTGCTTGATTCCATTAGATTTATTAAAAAAAACAATTTGCTTATAATTGTTTACTTAATTTAACCCAGTTTTCTCGCAATTTTACACTCTTTCTTTCGGAAAAAAAAATTACGTGATATTTGCCGAGAGCCCCCCTCCCCCCCACGTGAGATTTGGTGAGGTTTGGCTCGACCCCCTCCCCCCCTTAAACACCTCACGTAATTAATGAACGGCCCCTTATTGCTAAGAATGTTCTTAGGGACTTTTAAAACATTCAATAGATATCCTTTTAATGATGCAATTAGATTCTTAAAAGCTTCTTAAAACCTTCCTAAAAAGCAATCTATAGGATGCTTTTTAGGAAGGTTTTAAGAAGCTTTTAAGAATCTAATTGCATCATTAAAAGGGTATCTATTGAATGTTTTAAAAGTCCCTAAGAACATTCTTAGCAATAAGGGAAGGCTCTAAGAATATTCTTATAAGAACATTCTTATAAGAACCTTTTAAGAATACGTTTTTGGAATGTTTTTAAAAGGTTTCTTATGGAGCTTCTAGGAAGCTTTTGAGAATATTTCCAAATATGTCAGATACCCACGTTCTAATATGTTGTATTCTACATTCGTAAAATTCTTCAGGAGACAAATACGCCTCACTGTCATAATATGACAATAAAATGTATTTGTCGTCCCCTTAAATTTTGCGACATATTAATATATATTTATTTAACAATATTAAATTAACAATTTGACCTCTAAACCATAAGTTTTATGACATTATTTCATAAAAAGTAAAATTGGAAAATTTTGTGGGATAAGTCAGATTAGATTGAAGTTGAAGATAGTTAGTATTATTATAATATATATAAAATAAATACATAAAAATGTTAATTCAAAAATAAAAAATCGGTATACAAATTAATAAATATTTATTTTAAAAATAAAATACCTATAGTAAAAGTATTTTTGTTATCGAATATAGTTTTAATTTGACAAATAACTATAAAAAAATATTTTGGATTGTGTTTTTTACTTAGTATTTAATACTAATTACTAATTAGGTACTTAAGTATATGTAGGTATATACCTTTATACGTAGTTTATGGTATATTTTACTATTATATAGGTAACTGAACTAAATATGCTTAACATGAATATTCCTAAATGAACTTTCTATAGCAATTACTTTCTTTTAAGCATGTTCTTTAGAAGAAATATAGCATGATCCTAAGAGTATTCTCACTGGAAGGTTTAAAAAACATTCTTAGAATAAAGTGTGCTATCAGGGAAAGGGTTTTGATTATTTTAAACAATTTGTTTATTTATGCTTTTTTAGTTTAATATACTTATGTTAGAATTATTTTGTGTTCTCTTGAAATTAAGTTCAGCAGTAAATAAAATTTAAAATGTTTACATACGTGTAGGACAGGATTAGAATAAATATCAATGTTAATTATTGACAGAATATCTCCAACTAAAGATCTTCATCCCTAAATTTTTGTGTTATTTTTTTAATTTATTAATTTAAAAAGAACAGGGTTAGGTTTATAATATGAATAATTTATTATTATGATTGCAAAAACATTAAAAACATAAATTATTCTTTGTAATGATTTAGTTGTCTCAAGGTTAACGAAATTATTTCTGTGTGGTCATCCAAGATCAATAAAAATGCCCAATAAAGATACCATGGGACCAATTATGCAAGATTAGATATAATTCAATAATATTTGAACTTCACCTTGAAAACCACTTTTCTTTGCCAAAATTATAACATCGATAAATTATATCATCCACGCACACACATTTTTCTTAGTTTATATAAAAGGTAACTGTATTGTTTGAACCATGTCAGTTGTGTTGCAAAATGTATTGGGTAAGTTACCAAATACTCTAATTTTTTTTAATTTCAATTTTGTTTAGATCATCCTTATCATTGTAGCTGTAGCCGCAGCAAATCAGCTGCAACCCCTAATAATCTCGACACCATCATTTGACATTTTGCCCCCAATTGCACACCTCGAAGCCCAAGAAACAGTTTTTCACCCCTTTGCAGTGCTGCCTTCTCAATCCTACCCCAATGTGGTTTCGGTTACTCCAAAACCTGTACGAAGAATACAAAATGTCGCGTCGTCCACCAGTAAAAAACCATCTTTAAGTGTTTATAGTGTATCGCCAGCAAATTCATATTACGAAGAAAAAAGCAAATTTGTCGTTCCTTCCAGCAAATACTATACTTATGGGAACGTCATTCCTATTTTGCATTCAAGTTATGATAGCGATTCAAAAGGAAATTACAAATTTGGGTAAGTTTCATGCATTTTGTAAAGTGTATTGCCAAAATCTCTGCCACGTGGTAAAATCGGTTCTATAAAGTGGAAATGACTAAAATGGGGAACACTTTTTTTAGTGTCAGTTACGTTCCAACAACGTTCTTGGATTGTATAGAGACACGTTTATACCACGTTGAGTTTACGTTATTTTAACGTGGAGATAAAGTAGCCAAAACTTTTGCGAACTCTTTACTTCCTATTCTCGTCTCTTTCCAGCATATTATTTATCTTATTATCTTTGCTTTCTTTGAAACTGACACTGAATTCTATCATTATGATGTAAGAATACATTATTTATCTTTATACCTCAAATAATTTATTTATTATTTATGGTCACCTGAAACCAATAATTATGTATTAACGTGTTAAATTTGGTGCGGTACTAACCAGAATTATTTGTTTAAAACTACACATTTTTGTCCTACAATGGCAAATATTTGTAAACATGTCTGCTTTTAAAAAAGGAACTTTAAAATGGTAATCATAGTTTTGCCACATTCAAGGTTTGAGATAAGTTCTAAAAACGTTGACAAAACTGATATATCCCCTTTACTACTACTCCCAGTTCCAAGTAAAACTTAAGTAATGTGGTTTGAAGTTGCTGTTACTATAGTAACGGCAACTTCAAATATATTTATAATCCACTTTAAAGTTTAGACAACTTTAAGGTGGTTTTAAAAGTGGTCATAACATTTCAGATACCAGACTGATGCAAATTACATGATTACCTACAACTATATATATTATACTAATATAATATGAAGATATTTCAACTGTATCGTGGTAGATTTAGTTACTTTAACGTAATTGCCACTAATTTGAAGTTGCGATATCAGTTTTCATCACTATAATGCTACTTGGGATATCGTAGAGGGCCTTTCCATCACAAATCGACCAGGCTAGTTCTTTATTATTCAACAAATTTTTTTACCGAAATCAATGAGATCCGTATTTTTTCTTTTTGCTTCAATTTGTTTTGTTCACCCGTACGAAATGTTTGAAAAATTGACAGAAACATCAATTTTTCTCTTTTTACGAGTGACATTTTTTCTTGAAAATGCGATAACTTGGCCAAAAATGTTTTAGATCGTGTAGATAGTTTTTTTAATGTTCACTACATACAAAAAAATATAAAAAATTTATTGAATTCACTCAATTTTTTTAATTGTTTTTTCTAAAAAATGTAAAAAAAAATTTTACTTCATATTTTTTTTTAAGTTGATAATTTGAACAACTTTTACGAAAAGTCCCAAACTGCCTAAATTCGTCATTTCAGAATTATTATTTTTTTTAATGAAAATGCCATTTACCATTGCAAAAATTTGGTTTTTTATCTATAGGGTCATGAAACTGGGGTGACCTATATGAAGTGTAATTTAGAACTTTTTGACATATTTAATATATTTTTGTCACTTCTGGTTTCACCGGAAATGGTCTTAATTAAGACCATTTCCGGTGAAACCAGAAGTAAGTAAATTAAATTATTAGAGTAAAATGTAAGTTAATTTTAGTTAAAATAATTATAAGTAAGTATTACACCGAAAAAAATAATGTAGTTGAGTTAACATTTGCCTAAATGTCATTTTTAAAAATGTTGTTTCAACAAAAAACCTATTGGATTAATCTATATTTTGGTGTTAAAGCAAAAGTCAGAGTTTGTCAAAGTTTATTTGTTCATTTGACAGTTTAAATATTAATTTAACATAAACTAATATTTTGAATTAAAATGTTTATCGTACTTTGATTTAATAGCTGGAATTTGTTGAATCAACTACTGAAATTTTTAGGATTACCTAAAAAAACTATTAAATTAACGTTTAGTTGCTCTTTAATCCAAAACTTTAAATTTGTTCATTTAACAAATTTAAAATGTTACTTTAAAATTTAAAATGTAAAATTTGCATTCATAAAATTGCCGAGAATGGCGCTTCGAACACTCACGCCACGTCATTAGACAATGACGTTTTCTTACATCTCGCCTTAGTTAGCTTACGATTAGGTGTATATAAGATGAGATATCTGTTTGTTTAAGGTGTGTTCCACAGTAGAACTTTCACTACACCATATTGCCCGATACTGTTAAGACCCTCAATACAGGGCGAAACAGTCTGTCGGTATTTGAAGTAGGTGGAACACATGATACAAAGATGTATCATGGGTGGAACACGCTCAAAACAAAAACTCTGGGCGAGGTGAAGGTTCAATTCTTTCTATTTATATATAATAATATATTATTTCCATAATTTTGTTTTGGATACCAACCTTTAAAGAATTTTACATTTTCAGAATGTTAATTTAACATTTTATTGGTGTTAAGTGAATATGCTAAAAAGGTTACCTGGACATTTCAAGAAAGTTACCTTAACACCCTAAGAATGTTAAATTAACCAAATTAGCAGATTAGAACAAATATTCTTATTTTGTTCATTTGACTGTTATTTGTTGTTCAATTAAACAATACAATTTGACATTTTTAGATGGTTAAGTAAACGTGCAAAAACCATTGCTTGTATTTAAAGTGCATAAAGAGTTGAATTAATATTTTTTTTGTTGTTTCAACAGCTTATTTTTTTCAGTGTACATACCTAAAAGTAATGAAACGAATGCACAAAAAACTTATAAAAACGCGATTTCGAAGAAATATAGAACACAAACAATTCCGAAAAATTTTAGTCGGTTAACAGATATGTTAGTCGCGAAACTCTTTTTGACTAAAGTTCTTTCAGGAAGGGAAATAAGTATTAAACCTAAGAGGTTCAGAAACTTGTTAATTATAATTACCTATATTATAATTATAATTATGTTTAGAAATACCAAACTTTCATTTCATATTTCGTTTTTTATATATTGCCTGAGATTCCCTACAATGGCCACACTATGGGGCGGTTAGATATAACTTTTTATAATCGTTTCAAAATATTTGAATGATTTTATTTAATAGTTTTACCTAAAAATGTTGAGCTATTACTTACACCCCTTGCATTCTAACCAGCTGAATTATTATTTTTATTTTTTTTTTAATTTTAGCGTATGTTTTCATAGTAAAATAAAGTGTTAATATTCACTTACCAGCAAAACGAACGAACTGTCAAATCTGATATTTCTTTTAAACACACAAAGGTTTCAAAGCCTTCTTAATTTATTTACTTCTGTACACACTTTAAAACCTAATAAACATATTAAGAGTTTGAAAGCGATATTATTAAAAAATGCATAAATAATTGGTATCAAATTTAAAAAAAGTGGATTTATTTTATGCCCAACGAACCACCCTCTTTTAAAATTACACTTTATATAGGTCACCCCAGTTTAATGACCATACACAGTATAAAATTTGTGGTAAAAAACAACACCAAAAGTGGTCTATACAGGTCCACACTAGAAATGGTATATCTAACCACATACAATTTGGTGAATTTTACCTTTTTTAATTGGTAATAATCTACACGTACTATTCGTAAAAAACTCTTAACAGTGTAAAAATCAAATATAATACACTCTTAGGGGAAAAAGCAACACGCACTATTGCAATACCATGGCAAAAGAACTCCATTCAAGAGTAGAAAATGCTCAATTTGGTATAGTTTAGTACACATGGTGGGTGTTTTAATATTAAACACAACATGTAATGTAAAATAAAGTATATTTTATATTATTTACAAACTATTAGATATCAATACAAATGGGCTTTGGCATAAAATTAAAAAAAAAATGAATGAAATTATTAAATTACATATTTCACTTAAAAATAACAGATAAAAAAAGGTTTTATCACATTAGTTGCATCCACTGTCACATTGTAACACTTCACCAAACCACTGAATTTTAATTTAAAAACCATTGATGCATAGGTACACTACCATCAACTACACTCGGAATACCGATCGCGCCCTTGCCGTTAGCGAATGGTGATGACTACGTGCCTTTTTTTTACCACAATTTGTGTAGCTGTCAACACATAATAGTGTCAAATGTACACCGCGACGAGTTTATGTTAAAATTAACACTAGATTGACACGGTGCTGTGATAATTGAATTTAAATTAACACGAATGAATTTTACCACAATTTAAAATAAACACTTAATATTTTTGACCAAATTTAGTGTATATAGGGTGAATCGGAAGGATCGCACTAAACTCTAGGACTGCATTCTACACATCAAAATAATAAAAAAAAACTCAACTGTTCTTATCCGATTCTTATTTGTTTTCAAGGTATAGCGAAATTTAAAAAAAAAAATAAAAAAAATAAATTATTATCTAATGTTCTTTAAAAAACTATGGAAACAAAGTTTTGTTTACATTTAAAAGGCCTAACTGTCAGCGTCAGTGGTATTTTTGTAATTTTCCAGTTTAAATTTTTTTTAAATGCCGAAAGTTTATTCAAATTTAGAGTATTCTAATATGGTTTTTATTTATGGCTTTTGTAATGGCAATGCCACAGCTGCTGTAGAAGAATATCGGCGACATTTTCCAGGGCTCCTGACAAAAACGTGTTTATTCGAGTTTTTAACAAACTTTGCGAGACTGGAACTTTTTACTGATGAAGCAACATTTACCCGTGACGGCATTAATAATACGCACAACTCTCACGTATGGTCTGACGAAAATCTCCATGCTATAGTCGGTTTATCATGGAGAATCGCCTCACAGGGGAAAACCACCTTAAGTTTTTAATAAATGAGTTGCCAGGATTAGGGGAAGGTGGGGGAATTCTGCGCATCTAAGCAAAATCTCTAGTATCTTTGTTAAGTTTAAATGTGAAATTTTGCAATTAATACCAGCGATAGTCTACTATGTTTACTATGTGTATATAATGCGCAATTTATAAAAAAAAATGTTTGGTATGCAAAAACTACATTTTTTTAAATATTGCATTTGCGCAAAATTACCCACCTATCAGGGTAATTTTGCGCATCATAGTGGGAAAATTTGCGCTGTATAGAGAAAGATTTGTAGGTATCAAAATAAACCGTTTATTTCTATAATATTATTATAATAAAACATAAAAATAAAACAAAACTATTTTCTCTATGAAACAAACAAAACAAACAAAATAAAAAATAAATAACTAAAAATAAAATTTTTCTTCTTAGAAATAAGAGGGTCTACATGCAGCATTTGTCACATATGTATACATATGTGACAAAACTATAGTTTTAGGGTTTTTTTTTCGCTACACTCCGCGTGTGCCCAAATGGAACTGTTTATGCTTAACAATCTAGGCTCCTGAATACCAAAGCTCCCATATTGGCCAAATTTTGCAGCGCAAAATTACCCCAATTTTTCAGCGTAAAATTACCCCCATTTCAAGAAAAATATTGTGATACTAAAAAACTTTCCAAAAGTTAACCTGAACAATTTAAACATACACCAGATTACGAGGAAAGATCATATAAAGTTGTGTTATAAACATTTAAGCGATTGGACAGAAATTTAAACTTAACGACATGGATTTCTTAGATCAACGTACATGTATCACAGTTAGCTAGTGACCATGGTCACTAGCTAAAAGCTACAAGCTTGCGGTACACTTTAGTCCCCGTATACCCAAAGCAACGTTTCCAAGTTTGCAACATTCAAAAAATGTATTATTTACTTCATATCTGGAAGAATTGTTTATGCGTAAAATTACCCACCGCGCAAAATTCCCCCACCTTCTCCTACTAGAGAATGTCCCTTTAAATGTAAGAAGGCGAATGTACTATCAGCATGATTGACCCTGCACATTTCGCTCGTGAGGTCAAGCAACACTTGGATGAAATGTTTCCAGAGCGTTGGATTGGTCGCGGAGGTCCAATTAGTTGGCCTCCAAGAAGTCCAGATCTAACACCACTAGATTTTTGTTTATGGGGTTGGTTTAAAACAGAAGTTTACAAAGTTAAAGTGAATAATCGAGAGGCACTAATTCAACGAATAATTAATACTGGCGCAGTTCTCTAAAGAAAAACAAGAGTACCTAAATAGGACAAGCAGCAGACGTAGCAGAGCATGTTTAGAACTCAATGGGGGTATTTTTGAACACCTTATAAAAGTTATAACTATTAAACAACTTTTACCGTTTCATTTTTTTATTTTTTAATTACGCTATAACTTTAAAACAAATGAGAATCGAATAAGAACATTTTAGTTTTTTTAAATTATTTTAATGTGTAGAATGCAGTCCTAGAGTTCGGTGCGATCCTTCCAATTCCCCCTGTATATTAACACCAAATGATTTCACCACTCAATTTGTTAACTTTACACCTAAATATTTTATACTGTGTAGATAAGAAACCATATTTTTGCGATGGACCACGAATTTACTAGACACATTATCAACTTCAAAAAAAAAATTATGAAGTAAAAAATATCTGGCAATGTCAAAATTTTAACCTCAATTTTTTGCATATTTTAGAAAAAAATATTTAAAAAGAATTTGACTGAATTCACAATGGTTAAATCGAAACGTATGATAAAATTAATACACCCTTAAACTGTTTTATTTAATTTTTGAACTTAAAATGCAAATGTCATTTAAATTGTCTTTTTTAGATACCAAACTGGTAACGAAATCTACCAGCAAGAGATTGGACGTGTCAAAGACTCAAATAGCATAGAAAAATCAGGCGGTGTATCATACAAATCTCCTGAAGGCAAAACGATTACTTTAAACTATATCGCCGACGAAAATGGATTTCGCCCAGCAGGCGACCATTTACCCACGCCACCCCCGATCCCAGAAGCAATACTGAGAAGCATCAGATACAACGCCTTGAGAAAATCCCTCGACGACGGTCAGTACCAACCTGACAAATATTCCGATGACGATGGGCAGTATCATCCGGAGCTTTATGAAGCTGAAAGAAATTTCGATTTTGAACCTGTTGGTAGTGGGCAAGAGCTGATTCTTACGTATACTCTGCCAGATATGTTAACTAAGGATAATTTGAGGAAGAGGGCTGATAATGTTGTACCTACCGATATTTGGTTTCCGAAATAAATACAATTATGATTGAATGAATATTCGTTTTATTTATGCACGCACTTGATACAAATATATGGGTGAATCTTACGAAATGTCCCCCGTGATATTTAATAAAACTACACTTTTATTGTGTTTTGATCTTTCATAATTAAGTAGATATTACAGCTCAGATTCCAGATTTTTAACCGCAATTAATTAATTTTTACAATGTTTTAAAAGTCTAAAACCTATCCTCCGTCACTGTTACTCTCTTATCAAATATCTGAGGTAGTAAAAGCATATTAAAAATATCAGTTCACTAAGTGAATTAAACACATCCAAAGCAATCTAATCAGATATAAAATATTATTAAAAATTAAAAGAAATAATTTTTATAACCATTTATGTAGGTGTCACAAAAATTGATTCTATCCTCCGTGAATCTGTTTTTGCTTTAAATTTTAAGCAACGGATGGCGCTTTAATCATTTTAAATAAGCAAAAACCTCTGTTTACGACATTATAGATGCATGTGATTCCTGAAGGTCAGTTAGAATTTATATGCAGATGAGAGTGTTGCTGTTTTATAATTCAAAAGTTTAAGTTCATTAATTTGCTATTTAAAAACTTATCCACCGTGTAATATCTCAGTAAGTAGATTTTTTTATAAATATTTTATGTATGTACAATAGGGTGTCCCTTATTTTTATTTTTTTTACGCATACCCTCCAATTATATTTATTACGTGTTTATACACTCCCAGTAAAAATTTCAGCTCATTCTATAAACGGGAACCCGTGCCGACTTGCATCTGAACCCTCCGTTAGCAACGTTAGGCGCGCGGTATTTTGTAACACGGTTGGTCGCGAGGTCTTCGATCCTAAGTCATTTTGTGTTTGTTATTATGTGACTCTTATATTATAAATTATTGACAAATGTTAAAATACCTATAGTTTTATTTATGTGTATATTTTGATAAAAATGTATATTTTCACAGGGAGTGGCTAGTTACCCGGAAGGGTCTGGTGAATAGGCCGTAAACTCTGAAATTGATAAACTTAATGGGTTTTACTCTAAATAACTAAAAGAGTCTATTGTGAGAGATGACTACCAAAAACTTATTAAACTGTCTGAAATATTTTTGGGAGGACATCAAGAAAAGAAATGCTTATAAAAAGTAAAATTTCATATAACAGTATATTTTAGCAATACTAATTAGCATATTAATATATTTAAGGGATAAAATCAACTAAATTAATGAAACAAATGATAGAAACAAAAGCAATAATATTAATTAGTAATCATATTTAATAAAATCATTAGAAAAATACAGTCATGAAGTATATCTTCTTTTTAAAGTGTTTCGTGTTACAAAATACCGCGCGCCTAACGTTGGCTAACGGAGGGTTCAGATCGGCACGGGTTCCCGTTTATAGAATGAGATGAAATTTTTACTGGGAGTATATAAACAAGTAATAAATATAATTAGAGGGTATGCGTAAAAAAAATAAAAATAAGGGACACCCTAATGTACAATTGTATTTTAAAAAAATATTAAGGTGTCAAAAGATAAAATAACTTATTTCAAATATACAAAGGGATGTTTTAAAAACATACGAAATCCTAACCTCCGTGAAGCTATCTTCCGTGTAGCTCTAATATTCAAAATGTATGATTTCTTAAAATTCTGGCATTAGTGCAGAACCACTTATGTTATGTTATTACTAAAGCTGGTGGCTTCCCAAAAACCCCATTCTAGACTAACAGTGAAACAACCACAAATAAAAAATAATCATTTTCACTTGGGGCCCCCAAGTTGGGGGACATCTCAATATATTCACCCATATATAAATATTGACCTTGATATACGATATAATATTATACATAGGTATTTAAAATGAGAACAGAAAAATCAGATTATAATAAGATATGCTTCATTACTACATAATAATGACATACATTTTTTTATTTTTTATAATAAAATAAATATTATAAAAGATTAATTATAGCTTTTGTAGAAATAATTTGAGGCTATTCGAATTAATGATATTTATATACAATATACAGGATGTAACATAAATTACATGTTATGTATACATAACATGTAATTTATGTTACAGTAATATATTACTTGTATTAAAAAATAACAGTTTTTCTTCTTATGAAATCAATACAACCCAAGTAGCAAAGGGTTGCCACTAATAATGCTTTACTGTTTTATGCAAGCTTTATAAATGCATGAAAACATGCTTTTTATTTTACTGCAGCTCTACGTTGTGTTTGTTGGTCTTGAGATAATGAAGCTTTATGATTATGCTTTATAAGGGACTTTAAAGTAAAGTATTAAAGCCTTTTTGCTATTATAACCTTTTGGTCTTAACATTGATTTATTACTGCTAACCAATAATGCTTTTTAGGGCAACTTGCCCCTAAGATACGCCTATAGTCCAATAAGCTTTATGAAGATTTATCAGATGCCTATTGGTTTTAATGGTGCTCAGAAAGTTGGCTTTAATGCATCTGTTAACGCCGAGCCATAGGAGCATTTGGTCTTAGAACTACTTTTCCTCTATGTAAGAATGTTACAGAACCAAACAGTAAAAAGGTTTTATGATTGTTCCTAGTAGAGCAGCAATACGTCTTTAATATAACCAATTTGTATGAGTGTAAACCATTTTGTTGCTATTATTTCTTTCTTAAAACGTTTTTGTCTTGATAATCGCAAAGAAAATAACTCTTGTCAACATGTCTCCGCCATGCATGACGAGCTTTTTTAAGAGTGGTTAAAAGTGGAAATTTTTATAGAAAAACAAAGTTGGCTACTGTAAGAGCTGCTAAAAGTTGTTTTTCTGTGTTGTTGGAAAAACATCCGGGTGATAGTACTCATTGTATTCCTTCAACGTCCTGTTCCAACCAAGACCTAAATCCGCATTTTATGTCTAACTTACCAGATTGTTGTTTTCAGTAAACATCTGTTCTGCGCTAAACATTATAGAGAAAAGAAAAACATTTGACAATTTTTAGGTTATTTTATCATCTGACAAAGCATTATAGCCCTGATGGCGATACTTTTGATGAAAATGAATGAAGTTTGTTTTAAATTCTCGCACAAAATTCCAATTGGTTGTATGGTTGCCTTGAAAAATGTAGTCATAGGGCTTATTTTTAAGGATAACAAATAGTTTTAAACACTTTTTAAAGCAATCAAACTTTTTAGCAGTTGTTTGCAAGAGTAGGTACATTGATTTATAACTGAAACCGCCATTTAAATTAGAATTGCTCCGCCATGATAATATAATATTAATCTAAAATACGAATAGATAATATATTTCAGAAAATATCAAACATTTTGTTTTTACGAGCATGTTAATGCTAGAGAATATTTTTTCGATAAGAGATGGCTTAAAAACCGGTAAATCGGGTAAGTAATTAAGTCAAAACCTTTATAATTGTTTAAATTAAGCGCATTTCAGTGGTCATCATAAGTACATTTTTTTTCTCAACACAAACCTAATACAATTGTAGTTGCTTTGCTCTATGAAATAGTAAGTGAAATATAAGTGACTTTGCGACCCAGGAGAGGCAAGAGTTCGAGTTTGTCTTTCGTGTGTATCGCTCGATGAAAAAGTGTGAAAAATAGCTGACTTTGACCCAGGACGGATAAAATTGGATTCCGGGAATAGAAATATTCCTGTATCTTTGGACAATTTCGCAAGCTTTGACATTTTAGCGAGGTATTTTGTGAATTGTACACGAGAATTAGTGGATGATTCAAGTTTGGAAAATTCACATGTCTCTGGGTGGATGGCTTCGTGAAGCGCATGGACGTTAAAACTTGTTTCTGGTCAAAATGGTACATTGAAACCGAGACCATTAAGGCTTTTTGCCACCAAGAAAGAAGAAGAAGATAGGAGGAACAAGATCGGATTCCCATGGTAGAAATACACTGGTTATATGGCTAAAATATATAAATGATGATGTTGGAATTAATTTTTTTTTAGGAAATTCTGTGCATACAGCCATGTGGTGCATGGTGATATAGAAACTATGATAAGTTAATCTCAGATTTTCGCAGAAAACTGCTTCAAGCGTCAAGACGACCGAATAAGAAAATAAATTATAATTATAACCTATATTTGGTGCCGGCACTATATATAGTATACTATAGTATACTTCCCGCATAAAACAGTTTATTTCTAGAAAAGAAATGTTGCTTTAAATTGGAATACACTCTAGTGATTACCTTCTTAACTGCCTATTGGTTTTATGACATACTTTTTCGGTTTTAATAATTCCTAATGCATGAGATACTGCTCTTAAAGGTGTATGACCACAATTTTTTCCATCATCTATATTTGTGTAATTAAAAATAATTCTATTTTTTTATGTTAATTAAAATTAATTAAAAAATTGAACTATAATATCATCGGGTTTCTGCAAAACCAGATAACTCCCAAAACACCGTTTTGAGTAATTTGAATTTGTAACTTATTTCCATTGGGTCTAATTACTTAAATTTTTAACTTTGATTTAAATGACCTTTTTTAGGAAATACTAACACTTTTCTATATAATACCATGGTAACATTTATCATATAAGTTTTTATGCATAAAAACTTATATGATAAATGTTGCAGAATTAGCTTGTTGCGAAGGCCCATTTGTTTTTAAGTATTTCATTGATTTTCATAAAAAATGTGGGGTGGCATTAAAATATCACCCAAGTATGAAGAAATATACATACGTATATATGGGTGATTCTACAAAAGTTGAACAACTTGATGTCATCAGTCAATAGAGTAGGTATTTTAATATTTTTTGTAAATATTTTAGTATATTACAAAAGATCCAGGTTTTTTTTAACTTGTCCACCCAATTTTAATGTATTTTTCAAAAGCACGTTTTTGCACGTTATTGCTTCCGTATACTTTCTTCTCCATTTTTGAAATTCGACAATTTTTTTCTTTTATGCAAGTTCTTTATTATTAATATTAATATAATTATTATTAGAAATACCTACCTACCCACTTTAGAATTTTTTATTCTAAGCCATACCGAC